TACGACCGAACTGTTGAAACGAAGATTGAACGAGGCGGTATTACGATGGATCGCTGCATCGAACGTGCAGGTTTCGCGATTCGTCGCACTTACCGAACTTGTAAGATGCATCAAGTAGTTTCGAAAAAAATGGAAATTATATTAAAATATTGAACTTGTGAAAAATAAATAATCGAGATATTTTGCGGCATTAAAAAACCACCAAAAATTATTATTTTTTAATACTACAATAGCGTTAAGATATTACATGTAAAATTTAACGTTAATAAAATTTCCTCAGTAAGCACGTTGTTAGCAAATATATAAGTTTTCTTTTTTCCTTAAAAGGCTCTTTCGATTCTTACATCAATTAATGGATTTTGTGCAATATTCTTCTCATGACATTAATGTCTTCCATCTATATACCGACTCGCCCTGAAAGACGCGTATTTCGATGGCATATTATGTCGTACAAGGCGTAGGAACATTATGAATGTACTAGGGGCAAAGAGTTTCAGATTCCCTCGCTCGGTTCATGTGATCTTGTTGGCAAATCCGCTTGACAAACAACCCTCTATACGCGAATATCTTGAACGAGGGCAGGATGCTCTTTTATGGAAGCTTCCTAGTTACATCATTATCGAGTAATAGCTCATAGTTATCTATGAGTACATCCCGCCGGAAGCGTACGAGTTTCTTCCGTAAAACACTCTTTCCGAGGTTGTTATCAACGGATACTCTGAACAATGATGGACGTTCCCCGATGGCGATCATTATCGGTGTAATTCGGCTTTCAATTATAATCCATAATTCGGAGAATATCGCATTCGCGCGTCCACCGCCGAAAGAGACGTTAAATATCGCCGAAAGAGACGAGAGAGAATGGTGATTCCTATTAAATTTCCTTTGTGCTTATATATGTACGAGATTCATCGCTATCAAGCGCAGTCGATGACAATTCGCGATTGTGAAGTATAACTATATTAATATTGATTGTCCGTGTGTTCGTTACCGCAACGAGCTTGCTGTATTATTTGTTACCGGCGTGTATGGCAGGTCTCGGAAAGTTTCTTCTTAATTATAAAGCGATTTGTGTTGTAGACAAACAACACGGTTTACCCAGTAGTTCAACACGCACTAGAATCGATCGGATAATTAAATTACCGTAATGACCGCGTTGGGGAACTGTTGAATGGCTATTTTGCATGTTAACGTCATTGTTCTTATTGCGATTTGCAATGCATTTTATGCGCCTGCGAAAGCGCCGTCTGGCATGCATTTTTGCATATACTCCTTTGACGTGGAAAAAAGAGCGCGGAGCAGAAGGAAGGCGGCCAAAGAGTTTCGTGCCCGCTTTATGATCTCGTCGCTACGTCGTCGCTAAGTCCTCTCGACAAACGACCTTTTGTACGTAAATACCTTGAATAAGAGCGGGGATGTTCTTATCTCCCATTAGTTCGTCGCGTAATTTCTCATTACAATGCGAAGATTACGGTTTCCTCAGCACATTTCTGAATTTTAGTCACCTTCTCTCTTTCGGTTAATTTTACTTCCGCTCGAAAAACGCCATTAGTACGTGATCTCTTTAGACTTATAATTTATATATACAAATATATACGTATGTATAATGCAAATATAATTCTTCTAATTAACGAACGCTTTTATATCGGGATGACTCAGACAAGTAAAGAAAACCATCTTTCTTCGACACTTGTATCAATCCGGATTTCTTGCGCATCGCATATTCGCATATTATTCGTCATTTATTTTCTATATTGAAATTTTTCCTGTGAGTAAAAGTACAGCGGAGATAGTAGAACGTGTTTAAAAACTCGTGTTGTTATTATGTTGTCTATACAGAGTTACGCGGTACGATTAACAAAGAATTCTACGCGCGAATCGAGCGGAAAAAGCGAGCTCCGTGTCATTAGCGGTCTGTCATGAATGGAAGTTTTTGGCGATATAAAAGCCCCCTAAAGTTACCCTTGTCACGAACGATGTATCGGATTTATCGAAAATTTCGTACCGTCATTGCCGTTCGATGACTTGTCCACCTGCGCGAAAGCTTCCCGTGTGCGTTTCCGTGCGAAAGCTCTTCTTTTGTCAGGGGAAATTGAAGGGTGACTTTAAAGGATGAGGGATGATCGCGATCTCCTACCTTTGTGTCGCGTTTCCGCTACACGTTTGCTACGTATGTATATCGTAATACGCGACATCGCTCGTAGAATTACTACACGCTTTTTTATAAATCAGACTCGACGAGCAGCACTACGACGATTTTTCTATGGTATATTTATCATATTTATGTCGATCTAGTAAAATAATTTACGCTTTCGTAGTATTCGTGTAATGAGAAGCCATGTTATACCGAGCGCGTATTGATTATTGATTTGCAGAATTCAAAACTATTTATATACATGTAGATACGTTCGAGCTTCTCTTAAGAATCGGACGCTGAACTGCGAGAAATAAAATTCACGCTATGTCTTGTGACAAATTTCATCGGAATTCTTAAACTGAATCCCGATTGTAATGTATCGAAAATCAATTTTTACGTTTTATTTATTGAACCGTATCTCTAGATTGATTTCAGTTGAGTTTTGCAGCGGGCTATAAATGCGACTATAAAAACAGAGTTTAGTCATGGTCGTTTGTTCCATTCGTTTGCAGAGAGATTTTCTTTTTTTTTTATAAAAAAAGGTTTTACGATAGGACAGAGAGAGAGAGACTTGAAGAGGTAAAGAATAATTTCGCAGCTTCGCAACGTTTTGACCTAATTGTTCGATGACCCAACTGTATTATTTTTTTACATTTGTGACTTTTCAGTTGGTAAATGTGAGTGTTATGTAAATCGATGGAGCGTACAGTTTCGCTCATATTGAATTATTTCAAAGATTGAAATATCATGACCTGATTGCCTAGTTTTAACATTCTCGTAATAACACTCTCTTGGTTCTATTATTCAAGCTGTCCCGGAATTGTCCGAGAATTGTCGTTCTTAATTTCAATTTGAGATTATTTGAGATAATGTGCGATGTATTACCTATATATATGTAATATTACCCGCGATAGTTTTGTGCAAATAGACAACTTAGACAACTGCGAAATACATTGCGCAATTTACAATTTGCACGATGTTAGTGATATGTCCCTTGCATTCCCTCTACTCTACCTTGATTATAAATCCTTTTTATTCGGCAGTCGCATCGTCCTGTAAATGCGAATAAACTCCTCGTAAGATGCGATTCCCATCGAATCCGTGTTAAATCAGGCGGAATGCGAGAACGGTGGGACGAGGCGAAAGTCGCTTTTCAGAAAATCGCGCACACTCGATATGGAAACATATCCCGCGATTTATATCTCCGCTGATAAAGCGCCGTCCCCTCTGTCTAAAGCCTGGTCTACATAGGCCGCAGTTCGCAAAACGCGAGACACACGCACAGTCTACATGTCAATCTAACCTCTCTTTGTATAGATGTTAGATTGACATGTAAACTGTGCGTGTGTCTTCAGTGTCTTGCGTTTTGCGAACCGCGGCCTATGTAGACCGGGCTTAATGTTCACGCCACGCAGCGTTTCTTTCCCTCAGGAAGCCGATCGCGCGAGAGGAGGGAAGTCGATTTCCATCAAGTGAACGTTAAATCGAATCACAGTCGACTTTACTGTACGCGTGATGTCAAAACCGGGGAGAGATGCCGCGTAAGGAGACACGATATGGATTATTTGCATGCATCTCCTCTCTCTCTCTCTCTCTCTCTCTCTCTCTCTCTCTCTCTCTCTCTCTCTCTCTCTCTCTCTCTCTCTCTCTCTCTCTCTCTCTCTCTCTCTCTCTCTCTCTCTCTTTCCATCCCGCGAGCACCGTCCGTTTCGAAATCGCTACCTGGCAGATATACGATAAGCCATTGTCAATTACCGCACGTATCGGTTTAAATCAACTTCGAGATTTATTTTTTCGATGATTGACAGGCAGCAATCGGTAGCCGAGGGAGCAAAGACGGAGAGAGAGAGAAAGAGAGGCAAGTGCGGGATGGCGCGGAAGGTGGGTTACGGTGGTTCGGTTGCGCCGAATTGGAATGAAATGGCGGAATCGCAAAAAGAAAATACATTCTCCATCGCCCATCCCTTCCCCGCCGCGCCGTCCTTGCCAACTACGGTGAAGGCCTGCATCACGAAACGATTTCGCGTCACGAGCAGAAATTTTCGTCTCTAGTTACGCCGCGACGCGATGTCCCACGGCTTTTTTTTCCCCCCCGGCCATTGTTTTTGTCCGTTATGGCCGCGCGGATCAGCGTGGAAATATATCCTCGTTCGAGGGTTTTAATGTATTCCGGAATTTCGACCGGCACGTCCTGCTGGGGGTAGCTGTCACGAGACGGATGGACGAGAGATGATGGATTCAGTGAAATTAAATGACGGATCGCGCGGCATCTCTTTTTAACTTCGTCATTCTTCCTCCCTCCTCCTCCCCCCCACCCCCACTCCCGCTCGTGAAACATCGAACGAATAAATTTCTATTGCCCTAGTTGCTTCGATCACATATTATGGAGATTTGGAAACATTGAATTTAAACTGTACCGTTTGTATCAAACGGTGCGCGCGCGTGAGTGGACTGCGGAATAAAGTTTCATAAATTCCTTAAGGGAAAAACGCTGCGCGCGTTTTCGCTGACTTTGCGTTCAAAGATAATGCACAATTTTCTAAATTGATACGCTTCTTACATTTTGACGATTTCATTAGGCGTTCTTATTTCTTTCTTGAAACTAGAAAAACGGAAAATTATTGTCCATTTAAAAAGGTTCTCTGTCTTGTGTTTAGAGAGAAAGAATTGTTTTTAAGGGAAAAGTTTTGTTGTTCTCTGTGTAATATTAATTCTCTCTAATAATAATTAAATGTCTGTAAAAACGTAGATTGTTGATGAATTATTTACTGAAAGGACTTACAGAAAGATAACATATGCCCACATTTTTTACGAAAAGTGCAATGTACAAAGCAAAATATTTTGCGGGATACAATTCACTCACCAGAATCGAAGGTTACTTCGCTGACCATGATCCATCGATCCGAGAAATGCAGTCTCAGCTTAACGAATTTCCCGACTCGGTGATGAAGCTTGATCGTGATGTTTCGAGAAGTCTCAAAGATCTTGTCTTCCATGTACGTGTAGGTAATGGGTTCCCCTGTGTAGTATTTCCCGCCAATACTGAAGAGTATGTCAACTTGTGAAAACACCTGTAATCCGAAAACATGCATAAAGATATTCCGATTTATACTTCTAAGCGTGAATACACGGTGATCCTTAAGGGGGAATACGCAGTCAGATCGAGGCGCAAAAAAAGAGGGATTTTCTCGAATCTTTTTTATGTAAACGTATTAACTTTTTTATTCAGAAACTTTTACATGATATTAATATATGTTTGACGAACTTTTTTTTTTTTAGTAGAAAATAATAGTTATTATAATTTTGGCGAATAATTTTGGCTTTTATTCATACTGAAGTCGGTGGACACGATATCTCAAAATTTACTGCACCGATCTTTTTGAAATTTTACACACTTCTTTTATACATATTATTAAGCTTCCGTGTGGACAAAGGATTTTTTTTCAACGATTAGAACTTGTTTTACAAAAATGAAATGGTCAATTTTTTTTAGTAAAAATCGTGACTCAAACTTCAAAGTTCTCTAAAAAATTCAAAATTCAATTTTTTCGAAATCCTTCGTTCACACGAAAGATAAAGTCATCTACTAACGAAATCTTCTTGGTTTTTTTTATTTTAGATAATCCTGTCTCGAGATATGATGTCCACCGGGACTACTTTTTTTTTTAGGAGTTGTATTAAAATATTCGCCAAAATTATAATAACTATTATTTTCTACTAAAAAAAATACAAAAAGTTCGTCAAACACATTATATTAATATCATGTAAAAGTTTCTGAATAAAAAAGTTAATACGTTTACGTAAAAAAAATTCGAGAAAATCCCTCTTTTTTTTGCGCCTCTGACTGCGTATTCCCCCTTAAGTACAGCGAGAAAATTCAGGAGATGATTCCTGAACCAATTTTGAGATGAAAAGCTCAAATATAGCTTTGTCCTTGACGGCTTCGTTTCGGAGATAGTGTTTGTAAAAAAAATATTTTTTTCTTAATATTTCTGAAATGCGTCAAGATTTTTTATAAAACTCGGTGTACGTAATAAGTACTCAAAAAGTATTTAATTTTTTTTATTGAACACTATCTCCGAAATAAAGTCATTAAAGACAAAATTTCATTTGAGCATTTTGTCTCAAAATTGGTTCTCAGAAACACGGAAAAGAAATTAGCTACCGTAGCAAATCTACTCGTAAAATATAGACGCAATTAACATTTTTTTGATGCAAGAGATAATTTTTAGTAATAATAGCAAAATATTTTGCTACTATTACTAAAAATATAGCTCTCGCAACAAAACAATGTTAGTTGTCTATATTTTACAACTCCTTTTTTTCCATGAATCACCTCCTAAATGTACTTAGGCTTATCCTATATAGAACGCACATATGCAAGCAGATACGAATAACTGCGTGAAAGTAATGCAGGTTACTGCAGTTAATCGAAGGAATTGTTTATTAATAAATAACCCTAAGCCGCGAACGGTAAGGGTATACGGATTACACGGTGAATAAGCCAGCTCGAGTGAAATTTATCATACGTATTACGCGCATGAGTGTCTCTCGTCGGCGTGAAAGAAGGGAAAAACACAGTACATATTTCGCAACGGCAAAATTCCTATTTCGCCTCTCCCGAGCTACTTTTTCACCTCCTGAACAACCGCATCGCATGCCCGTAAATTTTTGACCGCGGATAGCATTTTTCAGGGTCTGACTACTTTCGTGGCCCGTAAATTCACGGACGACGACCTGACAGGAAAGGAATTTCGTCGTCACGGAATGCCGGGCCCTTATACTTGCGCCGCTCCCCCGAAGCGAAATTGGGGTCGATGGAGATCGCGGTCGTAAAATCGCGCGCGCGCCCGAAATCGATTCCAATATTGATCGTCGTATTTGTGTGATTAACTGCGACCGCGATCGCGCCGCAGCGCGCGGAAAAAATGATTTCTGCTACGGTTAAGTGAGTAGAGCGCGAGCTGATATGAAATAAAACGGATTACGCTAGTGGATATTAGGTAAAATGGATGCCGTGTGCGCCGCGCGACGTTGATGGATAGAGCCGACTCTCGAAAACCTCACCGCTCGCTCGAAGAAGATTTACCGACAAAGTAGAGTGCGGATCGTTCTCCGCGCGCGCGGTCGGAAGTATCACGAAAGACCGTTATACTTTTGAGAACGTTATAAAAGTTTAATGTGTCCCTAAAGTTCGATGGAGTATATGATCTGACCATAAATCACTTATTATCCGAGGTATTATCCGTGATCGCGCGAGCTTTTTTTGTCAGTGGAAAGAGTGTGTATCGAGATTGCATCCATACAATATACTTCTACACGTCCGCCGGGCTTGACTTCACGATCCGTTCTTTCTTCCCTTCGTGTTGTTTCTTTCTTTCTTTTTTTTTTACAAAAGTCCATCATTTTTCGCGTCAACGCGCGAGTCGCGATCCATTGGTGAATGGAGAAGGAAGAGAGCCGCGCGCCGATCCGTTTCTTCTTCGCGAAGAAGAATAGCGATTCGCGAAGATATCCAGCGCGTACGAAATCGAATTTCACAGCGTAAAGGCTGGCGTCGAGAAAGCGCAGCGCGATTGTCTAAACAATATCGTGTGCAAACGCTTTCGCATCGAGTGTGCGAAGTGCCTGTTGAATATTCGTAAGTCACGGTCCATTTGAAATTCCGAATATCCGGCAACGACGACGACGACAACGACGATGACGCGGCCACGACGACGCGACGGATAATCTGGAATTCCGTAAGTTTCGATTAATGTTGAATAATTCCTGGGGAAGGTTCTTAAGTGGACGCTGGACTCCGTTACTGCTGCAAGCACGCCCACGGATGCCTTTCTCTCTCTCCCTCCCCCCTCCCCGTCTCGACTTACGCAGAGTCCACGGGCGGACTTGGCGGACCCGAGTAATTTGTCGAGGAATTCTGTGTGCGCTGTATTCCGCTGGAATTGTAAACGGGGGATACATCATATCGCGTAAAGTTGATATTGTTAAAGAGTACAGCGCGGAGCCACATGTAACAGCTTGTAAGCGTCGGCCCTGTATAGAAGTTACCGAGTTACCGAGTTTGTGAGCGATAAAGCAAGTTTCTTTGTACTTGCTTTCGGTGAATGCATCTAATAATAAGAATATAGAATAAGTTTGCCTGCAACAATCCTTATGTCAAAAAATTTAATATTCTTAAAAGGAACGTCTGTTATTCGACAATGTGTACATTTTCAATGTATTATGTAATACAAGCTTGAGAAAGAAAAGAATAAAAACTAGAAGACTAGACAATCGTACCGATTTAATTGGAAAATAATCAGACTTGTCGACGTGATTTTTGATCTGGCGTCATGTCCAAGGTACAAAATTCAACAATGCTTCTAGCTGCGTGCAGACACGCGAGATAATAAAGCGCCGCCGAATTTCCTCCGCGACGTCTGTATCTTCTCGTTTCGTATCTTACACATTCGATAGTACAGCTCGTGCCAGAGAATACCCGGAATACATTTCCAATGATGCGACAGACAGGGGGAGTCGGCCTATCAGATTCGGTTATCCTAATCCGCGTCATGTAAATCCAATTTCCAGAGGTTTATCTCGCGGCAATGGCAGCCGGGAGCGATATACCGTGCGGCGAGAAGACGCGAGATTCGATAGTAACAGCAGGTAGTATCGACATGTCGATGCACCTTGCCTTGCGCGTGGTGGGCGCGTAGGTGGTGCATGAAGATAGGTCGCCATAAAACTCGTTTGAGCTTTCCGTGCTACGTTACCGTCGAAAAGTAGTTCTCTCCGGAGAGAAGAAGAGATATATATATAATGCACGCATGCATGCGCGAACATGCGTGGGTACGCACGCGACGAGAAGTCATATTATGCAATCCGAGACGTAAAATATAATACGTAAAACAAAACATTTCTTAGAGCATGTTAAAGTAAATCCTGCAAATGTGGAAATTCGCAAAAAATATATAAATGAGCAAAACCAGAATACTTATAATTTTATTTAAAAATAATATTTAGAAATTATATTTAGAAATTATTTAGAAATTATTGAAAAAAATACCCTTACAAAAATTTAATACTATAAGTGAATACTATAAGTGGTTATTTATTTGGTTAGTGATTAATTACTTATTTTGAGTATTAAAAGCATTAAAAACAATGCTTTTAATACTTTAAAAGTAAGTAATTAATCACTAGCCAAATAATCACTTACAGTATTAAATTTCTGTAAGGGTATTTAACTGCGCATCTATGGGTATCTCGCGCTGCCATCCAGTCAGACCAAAAAAGTGAAAAAATGACTGCTTTTTGACAAAAAAAAGTGACAAAAAGTAACCTTCTAGGCATTAAAATATTATACTTAATGCCTTGAAATATAATAGTTAATTAAAAGTGACATGTTTTATCGAATTGTTAGAGTAATTAAGGCCATTTAAGCAAAAAAAGAAAAAAATAAAACATTTTCTCTTATTTTCTCGGATCTACTGGATGACTGGATGACAGGATGACAGCGCCGGTATCTAAATAATGTTTTTTGACATATTTCGCATATAATTAAATAATAAAAGTTAAAGCACTTATTGAGAGATAGATACCGTGGTCAGGAGACGCAAATAAATATATTTTAAAATAAGTTGGTTTATTTTGACCCAACTGGCCAATTGATACAGGAATTGCACAATTCCTGTATCAATTGGGTCGAAATAGACCGACTTATTTTGAATTATTTGTTGGCGACTGAAATTGTTTTGTTTAAATATATTTTATCGATAGAGCGTCATATAGGTACCGAATTATAGATGCAGCACTCGAAAAAACGAAGTAGCGGACTGTATTAAAAAGAATCCTAGAATAATTATGACAACACGTGTACATTCCATTTCGTTCCATTAGCCGGCCATGGAGTTTTATTCATTATACGTTGAATAGATAACGCTCTTTCGTTCGACCAAATACGTGCCGAAGAGAATGTCCGTCAGTAAAACGGATTCGAAAAAGGAAAGAGCATTCCTAAATAAAATCGGCACGCCGAACGCGCGGAAGACCGTTACATCGACCCGGGCGTGCAATCACGCGAATT